TATATATATTAAAGAATTTGTATATTAAATAGCATTAAAGAAATATATGAAAGTTTAAATGATACATTTTATTCAAACGAATTTATTACAGAATTATCTTCGCCTAAATCGTTCCAAGGAAAAAATTTAACAGGAACCGTACGTCTTATACGTGATTTAGCTGCAGATATTCATGCAAATATACAGCAATGGAATAACCTTCATATTCAAGGAATTACTTATTTAAAAGACATAACACAAGAAAAACACGATAAAAATTATTCTAAGATTTTACAAGATTTGTGTGATAAGTTAGAAAATATTTGTGATAATCTGGTAAATTTTTCTCTCTTTTTTTTTTTAAGAGATTATACATTCTTTTACTACATTATTTCATATTTTTACAACTTTACAGATTTAGATTAATATTATTTTGATTTAATTGATGTTTTATTGAATTTAGAATTATATTTATAATTTATTAATATAAATAACTATTAATAATCTTATTTTTAGGACGGCATAGTTAAAAACTTAGATCATATTAAGAATCAATTAAAAACTGTATCAACCTTAGAAAAAACTATAGATAAATTATTTACAACATGGCCAACAACAAGGTTTGGTAAGAAATAACTTAAATAACTAGATTTATAATCTAGAAAATATATACTTTACACAGCGTTTGCTATAAAAAGATGTTAAGTTTTGATTGTTCTTTGGTTAACGTAACTAAATTTCCAAAAATATACAAATTATATATCATATAAAAAGGCTATTTAAGCACAGTCAAATGCATTATAGTTTATATTGACAAGTTCTGCTATTGACAGAATAAGAGATCTGTCAATATAAACTGTTAGTAAACTGTTGAAAACCAAGCAAATTCTGTAAAAAATACAATTGATGTCAATTTGTTATATGATATTTTGTTTGAAATATCCAGTAGCAAATTGTTAGAACTTTGCTAACATTTTATTTGCTAAAAACTTATTTGTATATCTTATAATATTTTGATATTTTGATTACATAATTAAATTATTTGATAAAACTATGTTATAATATTATGCTTCCAAAATGTTTAGGTGAAGTAGCAGAAACTATATATGAAGCATATTATATGGAAGTCAAATTGAAACGCAAATTACTCGAAAATGTTGCTCACAATTATACAGAATCTTGGAAGATGCTTCATCTAGCAGCTTGGGTGTACGAGCCTTTTATAACTGAAAATTTAACGATTTTATTAGATTCATTGCTTATTGAAACTGGTCACAAATGAGAAAAACTTCTAATTAATATACTTATATAAAGCAAATATATAAACGGCTGGAAAAAAAAATTGCAATGTTATTTATGTCAAGAATCTAGATTAAAATATAATAGATAGAGCTTAAGTATATTTTGGTATAAATTTATATATGTGCGCTTAAGTAATTTTCGGTCTTGAATCTTAATTTAAAACTGTAGAATAGTAATATTGCAAATTAATTTAATGATATTAACGCTAATAGATATCTTAAAAGTTTATAAATAATTTATTGTGAAAAATATCCTTAGCCAAAACTTGAACCTTAGCCAAAACTTGAACCTTCTCTACATAGCGTAACTGATATCTTTACTAATAATAGCAATTCGCAATTAAAAATATCCAATTTTATTTATATCGAATATCGATACAATATAGGCTTCGCATCAATAATTGGAAATATCGAAGTCCAGAATATCAATTCAAGATGTCGATGTTACGAAATATCGATGCTACAGTGTCAGTTTCCGCCATGCTTATTTTAAATCCTCTCCCTCCTCCGACTTTATTCCTCGTTCATACACGTGTTTTTGTTGATATCGTTATATTACTAGAAATATAATTTGATATTGCTTAAAAAATGGGTAAAGCGAAAAAAGTCAAAGTATCTAAAGGCGAAACTAAAGAACCGAAAATTGGTTTGGCGGATCAAATAGAACTTGAGAAAGAGGTGAAAGTAAAAAACCGGCAAAAAATCAGGCGTCGAGCTGATGAGGAGGAGGTTAGTTTCAGCATTTACTTTATTTATTGTATTTGTTTATTACATTCTGTTTTTTGAAATCAAATAGAAATAATTAAGTTCTTTAAAAAACACATAAATAAATAAATTTAAAATACACAAAACTACAGAAAACTTGGAAGTGATGGCATTAGACTGCATTATCAAAATCTTTTTTATTTTTTATTTCAATTGCAATTTATGCTGTTTCTATTTTTTTTTAAATAAAAAAATTCGAGAGATAGTTAAGTCCTTTGGAAAATTTTTTATCTCACTTTTACATTTTTTAATTTTAATTTTTAGTATATAGCACCAACTCTGACGAAGAAAATCTTGTCGCAAGCTAGGCAACAGCAGCTAGAGATCGAAGATGAGATTGGTCCTAGTAATCTTGAGAAACCCAAAAAATCAAAAGTGAATCTTGGCTCTGATTTCAGTGATGATGAGGATCAATCTAGCGATGATGGAGAACCAGTAGAGGATGTATATTACGAGAACATTAACATTGATGAGGACGATGAGCGGGCATTACAGATGTTCATGTCAAAGGATGCAGCACCCATGAAGACGCTGGCAGACATAATAATGGAAAAATTGACAGAAAAAAAGACAGAAATCGAAACACAGTTCTCTGACGCCGGAACTATTCAACTGCAGGATTTGGATCCACGGGTAAAGGCGATGTATGAGGGTGTCAGAGACGTCCTGGCGAAATATCGTAGTGGCAAGCTACCGAAAGCTTTTAAGCTCGTGCCCACCTTGAAGAATTGGGAGCAAATACTTTATATCACAGACCCAACAAAGTGGTCTGCTGCTGCCATGTATCAGGGGACAAGGATATTTGCTTCAAACTTGAAAGATAAGATGGCCCAGAGGTTCTACAACTTAGTCCTGCTACCACGCATTCGGGATGATTTGGCAGAATATAAAAAACTAAATTTTCATTTGTATCAAGCGCTGAGAAAAGCATTGTATAAACCAGCTGGATTTATGAAGGGAATTCTCCTACCACTCTTAGAATCAGGAACGTGCACACTCAGAGAGGCCACTATCATCGGATCTGTGATCGCAAACAATTCTATACCAATTTTACATTCTTCAGCGGCTATATTAAAAATCGCAGAGATGGATTATACGGGCGCTAACAGTATCTTTCTCAGGATCTTCTTAGATAAGAAATATGCGCTTCCATACAGAGTAGTGGACGGAGTAGTGTTTCACTTTCTTAGGTAAGATATCCCTTACTTAAAAAGTGACATAATTTCAATAATTAAGTTTCTCAGAAAAGAAGAAAACTATTTTTTGATTTGACAGAAAATTATTGACTAATTAATTACTATCGATAAAAAGAAATATATTCACATTTAATAATCACAATTTTTAATTGTGACTATTTTTGTGAAATTAAGTTCACTTTGGACGATTAATAGAATAATGTTTACTTAATTCATTCATGGTAACATCATATTTTTTAATTGTACTACTTTTGAAGTAGGAGAATGATATATAATAACAATAAATTTTAAATGAAAATTATTAAGAACTATGTTCATATCAAAATATATTTCATTAGGTTTGAAAGAGACACAAGAGAGTTGCCAGTACTATGGCATCAGGCCCTCTTAACGTTTGTACAACGATACAAGAGCGATATCAGTTCCGAACAAAAGGAGGCTTTGCTAGGACTACTGAGGAAACAGTCGCATCATTCGATCACTCCTGAAATCAGAAGGGAATTACAACACGCGAAATGTAGAGACATAGAAATTACAGAAACCAAACCAGAACTAATGGATATTAAAGATACATAATGCGTCCAAATAGTTATTGTATTAATATTTGTAATTATAATGTAATTATAATATGAAGGTATCAGATTATATATTAGAAATTGAGAATTATAAATTGAAAATTAGAATTTTGATAAATTGAATAATAAAGACATAATATTAAGTGTATATAGTGTCTGTAAAAAATAATTGAAATTAGAAATTTATACTTTCCGTATAAAATTGGATGTTATGCACATGAAATAGTTCAATAAGAGAGATTAATATTTATATTTAACAATTTTGTAGTTTATATGAAAACTTTCCTCATTTTAATTTTTTAAAAAAATTTACTTTTCATTAAAATAATTTTTTATTCAGATTCTAG